TCCTGGACCGGGGTGTCGCCGCTGGCGATCTTGTTGCTGTAGTGCTCTGCGATGGCTTGGGTCTGCAGCCAACCTCTCATGGCATCCGGATTCTTCGCAAAGCTCTTCAAGGACTTTGCGGTCTCTGGGTTGCTCTCGACATAGGCACGAACCTCCGCCCATGTTTCGTCATCCACATCTGGGAGTCTGCAGATCTCCATGGTGCTGCCATCGCTGATCTTCAGCGTCTCGGTGGCCATGTTGCCGCTTGGAGGAGACAGCCGAGCACAGGGATTGCTCCTTTCCTCGAGCCGCGCAGAAAAGCGAGACTCAGCAGCCAAAGGCCCGCGAAGGCGCGAGAAGCAAACACGAGGGCTGGAAGGAGTCGTGAACTGAATCTTGGGGCTTAAGGATGCGATGCTGAAAAAAACGCACTTGATACACTGGATCTTGAAAAGCACAGATCCTAGCTGGGTTTACCATGGGTCGGTTGACTTTTTAGAAGAGGCGCGGTGCTTTGCGCTGTGCGCTTTGGGCACAGTCACCGGGATGTCATGGTCCACTCCTGAGGCACTCGGTGTGGATTAAATCCTGGACTCCCGGACCAAGCCTCATTCACACACCACGGTCTGTGCTTATCAGTTGTTGGCTTCCTCCGCTCGCGCTGCGAATGAGGTTGAGTCACCGGAACCCACTGGCTTCAAAAAGAAATTGCTCGATGAAGCTGTAAACTCGAAGAAGGGGAAGTAGGAACGCCTCACTGTGCTCCGTGTGCCTTTAAGATCTGCATGGTCGCCTCCTGTTTGTTCTGTGTGGCCACTGCCAGTGGTGTCATGCCCTGTACATTGGGTTGGCTCACATTGGCCCCGACCTTAGGCGCAAGACCACGCTGGGAACGTGAATGGGAGTCCTACTACCAAACTCAGAAATATGGCAGCACATATTGCAGCAACCTAGAGAAGAGCTACTAGTCGCTGTCAGGAAAAGGCGTGTGCCTGCACCCGCGCTATGTGGGTGCCCGTCCCTGTACGCTAGGACAAGATCATCCAAAACAACGTTCTTTGACCCACAGAGTCAACCTTGCCCATACAAGCGCAACTTGAGCACAAACTGTCATCCTACGACCTTGTGCCTGCATTTTACATTCTAAAATTCAAACATAGCACGCGTGAGGCACATACACATAGAAGCCCTCACATGCAACACCCGATACTGCTCATAGTCCCATAGAACTCCAAAGAGCCCAACACCCTAAACCCCTATGTCCCTATGTACTCCAACGCACCTTCCACAACCCCTGCGAAGCTCACCGCAAGCTACCCTGCAAGCAAATCCTACCTTCAGGAGGTACTCGACCAGCTCCCTTCTTCCGTAGCCGGCGGCGTAGTGAAGGCCGGAGTTACCGGAGCTGTCCACAGCCTCAGCAGACGGGGCCTCACAGCGGCCTAATTCGAACAAGGTGTTGTGTGGTAGGTTATGGTATACAGGGACTGCGTCGGCTTGAGGATGTTTGGGCATCCGGGCTTTTGGGCTCTTATAGATGCCGTTCATGGTTCTCCGGCTCAGACTGAACTTACTCTTTACTGGGGTTGGAACAGTCGGGTGTGGTGTTCGCGCTGTCTTGATTGTTTCGGGTCTTCTTGTAGACAGGTCGAGACGAGGGTATAGCCGGAAAAGGAAACGGGGACAAGACAAGTAGAGCAGAGGGTACAAGAGCATAAGGTGCAGGACAGGCAACATATGGGTTGGCCCTGCTGTCCAAGAGCTTCTTCACCACGGCGATGCCTTGGGCTCAACAGATCAGTGACCTAACGGACAAACCTATGAAGCATAATGAACCCGTGAAGCCAAACCAACAAAACGACAAACGGACGGCAAAGCCGACAGGCAGGCTGTAACTTCATCCAATATCTCCGTCAGCGTTTCGAGGTGAAGGACAGCTTCGGCTGGGACTGCTCGAATGTACGGGGCGTAATTAAAATTTCATGCTCCCTAACGGACATGACCTGCCCTTTAGGCACAAGGCTCTATTTGAGCCAGGAAGCGGTTGGCACCGATGGCATACCCTAGCGGAGTGATCCCCTTGAAGTCCTGCGCATCCAGGGGCTTGTTCTTGTCTAAGAACTGCTGGACGGCTGCGAGATCCCCCTTCTTGGCTGCTTCGTGGAGGGTCAGCGAGGTGTCTTCAATCTTCTGAAGAACGGGCTGAAGCTCGGAAGGCAGGCCACCCATCTTCTGGCTTATTCGTAGCATCAACTCCTCGTCCTGGTAGTACTTCATGACGGCTTCCATGCCATTCTTCTTGATGTCTTCGAAGATGGAGGCTAGCTCGGGGTCTTTCTCCAGGAACTTGACCTTGTCCTGGACCGGGGTGTCGCCGCTGGCCATCTTGTTGCTGTAGTGCTCTGCGATGGCTTGGGTCTGCAGCCAACCTCTCATGGCATCCGGATTCTTCGCAAAGCTCTTCAAAGACTTTGCGGTCTCTGGGTTGCTCTCGACATAGGCACGAACCTCCGCCCATGTTTCGTCATCCACATCTGGGAGTCTGCAGATCTCCATGGTGCTGCCATCGCTGATCTTCAGCGTCTCGGTGGCCATGTTGCCGCTTGGAGGAGACAGCCGAACACAGGGATTGCTCCTTTCCTCGAGCCGCGCAGAAAAGCGAGACTCAGCAGCCCAAACCCCGCGAAGGCGCGCACTGAATCTTGGGGCTTAAGGATGCGATGCTGAACAAAAACGCACTGGATACGCTGGATCTTGAAAAGCACTGACCCTAAGCTCTGAATCTTGGGGCTTAAGGATGCGATGCTGAACAAAAACGCACCTGCTGCGCAGCACAGACATGAAATGTGGCCCCTCAGGTGCCTCCAAAGCCTTGAAGACCTGGTATTGGCCCAGCAAATACTGGCCGTAGGCCTTCCAAAGTCCGGGACTCTCGGGGAGCAGGGAGCCTTTTTTTGTTGGGATCCCTTGTTCCAACACTTGCGGCTTTATTGAGGGCTTCTGATTTCTGCTATAAGGCCCGCAAAGACTGGCAGGACTTTTGAGACTGGAGGCTTTTTGTCCAGAGGTTTCAGAAGGTTTAAGGGCATTAAGGGTTTGGGGTGTAGAGAGTATAGAGTTTAGGAGGTCACCGCCTCTAGGCCAAAGGCTGTTTTTTGCACCCGTTGTTTCGTATCAATAGATTTAACTTCGGGTGTCGTGCTTGAGCCGAAATTTCGGCGTCCAGTCGTCCAAAGCAATTTGCGATAGATTGGCGGACGGTTTACTGTAGGGTGCCTAAATGCTACATTTTGAACTAGCTTCGGAATATGGCCACTGCAGGTGGTAGCAACATCTACTTATGAGCTGTCGCTACAAGAGGCGTCGGCGTGGACGGAGTCAAATGCGCTTCCGAACTCCGCCAGTCAAGGCTCCTGATTTGAAGCATTATCAGGCTGGCTGCCATGTGTGCCCTGGCCAGAACAAGCAGGCACCAAGAAGAATGAAAACACCAAGTCGCCTCCATGTGCCTACCGATAGCCTCCGGAAATACTTGACGACCCGCACCCGGGCCTCCTTGTCAAAGTTCTCCGCATAGATGGTCCTGTGAATCCCCGGCTTCGTGTGGGATAAGTGATAAGGGGGCTACCGGCCAAAAGGCCAAAAGGTTGTCACGTCTGGGGCTTGGGGGTTTGCAGAGCTTGCCTCCAAAGTGCAAATGTCAACAAGGACTTCTCCATAACCAGTCTAGAAAAAAACGAACCTTAAATCTTGCATACCCAAAACCTAAACGACCTAAACCCTCAGGCCTTCTGTTTGACCTCTGCTCAAGGGCTTCATGAGGCTCTTGCACTCGAGTTGTTTTTTGGTCGTTGTTGCAATGAGAAGGTTTATAGGCTTGATTATGTTGTTGCGATGCTGACTCTTCGGATTAATGCTCTTGGTTTTTGTATCGAAGCTGCTCATTGCCATGAATATCGCGTTGTCGCTGCTTGTTGTAGGCATTGCCCGCCAGCAAAACTGCACGTCGAGGCTACGGCCATCACAGCACTGTTATGGCAGACGGTAATCCGTGCGATCACTGCTGGAGAAAAAGCTACGTGCGAAAGCAGTCCTCATGAACGGATGCTCCATCGTGGCTTCATGCTCCTGAAGGTGGAACGAAGCTTCTCGACTCTACATTTATGGACGAACCTCCCGAATCCCTGTTTCGGTCTGACGAAGCTTTCCCGAACTCCCCAAGCCCAACGTCGGAAGCGACTACACTTCAGAATCTTAGGCTAAGGTCATTCGGGAAGTCTTCGCAGCTTCAAGCGGATGTTGGCCCACAAAGGACAAAGGCTGCCTTGGAGTAAAACTCTCATCAGGATGTCTCTTCTCTTGCTTGCACGCATGCCTGCGGGGAAACCGCCCAGGCTTAGACAACTTGTCCCGATGTTGCATTGCTTGGCTCGGGGCCTCCAGTAGCATCAAGTACACCCTGCGACCCAAGCCCCAAACAAAAAAAAAAGCCAGGAAATGAACCCTAAATCCTAAACCCAAACAAAGAAGCCGTCATGAAACGAACTCAGCCCTCGCCTTGTTGGTTCTCGTCAAAAACCAGCTGGAGTGGCCCTTCGCGTCAGCCGACAGCGTACTATATTTGCCTCAAGCATGCATGGAGCCTGCTGTGCAGCCACCGATGCCGTCATGTTACAAAACACGTATGTGTATACATGTATATATATATATATGTGTGTGTGTGTGTGTGTTTGTGTTTGTGTGTGTGTGTGTGTGCGTGTGTGTGTGTGTGTGCGTGTGCGTGCGTCAATACTGCGGTAGGACGAAAGTTCGT